TAATGTCAAGATGCACTCTTTGAATTCCAATATGCAATACAAATAATGTAAATATGAAACTGCTAGTTTATGGCTTGAATAATATGAAACACGTTGAACTTCAATGTGCAATACAAATAATGTAAAGATGATTTGAATGGGAGGACTAGTTTGTATGTGATCACACCCCTGCATATTTAATTATTTTTACTGCATATTGAAGTTTAAAGTGATGCATATTATTGAGTTTGTAGGTTAGTATTTTAAGCATGGTTTGTATTTGATCTCTTATATATATATATATTGATTACTTTTAGATATTAGAAGATAAGTTGCTAACAGTTGAGCGAGGGAATGGAGCGAGAGAATTTATCTTTCATATGTAGTGTTTTTAGGTATAAACTAATCCGACTAACAATTGATTGAGTGGGACAATTTTCTGTCATATGTAGTTCTTTTTGGCATAAGAGAAACTAGTTGAAAATTTAGCAGAATAATTTTCTCTCTCATATGTTAGTTCTAATTTAACTGATGAGTACCAACTTCTTTTCAACTAATACTATTCCTCAATTTTAATAATTATTCAACTCACTTAAACTTTATGTCACCCACCTATTGTTCTCACTTTTTCAGAATAGTATTTAATTTTAAATTTAATTTAATCATGAAGATTTATAAGTAGTAAATTCTAATGAATGGTGTCAATTGATTTTTCCTAATATACTCTCATTGGATATGTATTTAATAGGCTTATACTTTATGATATTAGCTTATTGTACTCTTATTTTTCAAAAATGTTGAATTCTACAAAGTATTTTTATTTTAATATTTAATTAAATCATGAGTAAAAATATATGCATCAAATGTTCTTTCCCGTGCGTATGCACGGGTACTATACTAGTAACAATCAAAATAAGTAATGCTGAGATTACTTTTCTCGCTAATTAAATCAGCTAAAATTACTAATGTAGATCTTGATTTTAATATTTTCCATGTAATTTCTCTTCGCTTTATTAATTTACCAAATTTAGTCAATTTAATCAATCCATTCACAATCTATCAAACAGGCTCTGAAAATTTGATAATGTGTTTAATATTGGTTGTGTAACTAGTGCTACATTCAATTTCGTCCTCTTTAAATATGGTTAATGCGAGAGGTAGAGGGGATAACGACCTAAGAGAAACGGTCTAAAGCCAGTTTAGTGACCTCCATTTCCGACTTATTATCATTATCAGTTAATTCTAATTTTCATCATATACGTAATTTTTGAGTTCGCTCGCTGAGTTGTATAATAATAAAAATAATAAAGTTATGGGTTACTTTTCTGGGTGAATTGGTTGAAGTTAGTGTAGAAGAACATTTTAATTATTTTCATATAACTTTTTCTTTACTTTGTAAATAAAATATATTTTCATTTTTCCCTCAAAATTCAGTAGGTTCAGCCAGAACATCATCAGTTTCAGTTGAATCAGTGGATCCAGCCAACTCCAATGTTGCCAAACCACAAAAATCCAGTCACGTTTTGAAATACTATATAGAGCAATTGATTTTTGTTGTCTTTATCTTTATTTTTGGAGTTTTTACATGAATGGTACTAGTATTAATCAGAAGGATAAAAATGTGACTAGTTGTTTTAAAACATGCGGACTGAGGGAAAAAGTGAAAGTTCTGTATTGTCAAAGGCGCACGATCGATTACAAAGCTAACGAGAATTTAATGAAGGCCGAAGCTATATGAATTGGAAGCAATGAGACGAGGGTTTGAAAAGAAAATCATGAAAGCCACTTCTTTTAGCAATTTTATGTCAATTCAAACAATCAAAGAAATGAAAAAGATATATTGGGCTACGTACAAGGAATGTATATTTACTAGGAGAAAGAATCAAAAGAATTAAATGAATTTTCGTAGAAAGAATAATAAAGTAATATGAGTATATTGGTCTCAATTGAAGATGTAATTGATTTTGTATTTCTCTTGAAATAAAGAGACTAGTTGAAGCTCTTGAACCGATTGTATATTGTAATATATTTGTAATGGGAAATTGAATTAACTGATAATGATAATAAGTCGGAAATGGAGGTCACTAAACTGGCTTTAGACCGTTTCTCTTAGGTCGTTATCCCCTCTACCTCTCGCATTAACCATATTTAAAGAGGACGAAATTGAATGTAGCACTAGTTACACAACCAATATTAAACGCATGTAAATTGTATATTTACAAATGTATATTTGTAATAAAGATATTACAAATATATATAGAAATAAAGTTGAAGCTCTTGAACCGATTTGCTCCTCTCCCATTAAAAGCGACTAGTTGAACTTTTAAAGTGATAACCTCCCATCAAACTAGGGACTAGATGAACTAACTACCCCAATTTCCTCCTTGCTTATAATAGGTCCGCACCTCTTCCATCAGACCATCAAAGTAGGGAATTGTGTTAAATAATTCTATCCTTGGTTGCTTGTTCTCCTCTTCACCTTAGATAATTACAATCAACATCAACTATTCAAGCTAATTTTTGGTCTAATATCACTCATGAATAAAAACATATACTATGTATAAAAAATGTATATTGTTGTTTATGTACATGAACAAATGTTTATGTTGTTCTTGTCTTCTTGATTTGCCCCTGTAAGTGACTTCGGTTGAATATACATTAGTTTCCTCCAGTCACATAAATGACTTCATTTCACTTGCTATAATTGACGTAAATTACTTTATTTCAAATTTTCACTCAAAGTCATTTATGTTGAGTTATTATAATTAAGTCACAAATCCTAATATTCATTGCTATCTCCCTCGACTTCCAATTCCACTTATTGCAAGTATTGTTCAATAATTATGACTTCCCCCAAAACGTACAAATCAATCCCTTTGGAACTACTTATCATTGTAGTCCTCAACAAATACATTCACCAAAATCACATGGAATGGCAGAATCATCTACACACATATAAACACAGTGTGAAAGTCGATCACAAGTGATTCACCAAGACCCTGTTTGTATTTCGGCGGTTTGGAACCTATATGCTGCAAAATGCAGCGTTTCCTTTTGACAAAATCGGCGTTTGGGGGGTAAACCGCTGTACCCAAACACTACCTAAATGAAGTGTGGTTCCAATTTTGAAGTTTCCAGGGCGGGCTGATGAGTTTTTACTTGATGAGTCTATCTCCAAGGACCAAGATCGTCTCCTTTAAGATCAACACACCACTTACGGAAAGTCAGTGGGGCAAAGAAACCACCTCCACCAGACAAACAGTTAATCGAGGTCGCTCCCTCCGTAATAAGCACACCGTTCCCGAGCTCGATCTCATCACTTGTGCTCGGGGCCTCGCTAATCAATTGTGGACTTAGACATCTCAGCAATAATCAAGTGCCACACAAAGTTGCATCCACGTCACCAGCACGACAACTTTACAAGGACCACGTCACCTTGATGGTTACTACACAGAATATTCCAGATAGTACACGCGTGGCACACACATGCGTTCTGGTATACAAAAGAACAATTTTGTTGCATACAATACCAATCAACATTACACGTGTCGCTTCACTATTAGACTAGTACATTTATTCTTGTTAGCCAAGTTATACACATGTTCTCACCACAATAGAATAACATATTTTTAGTTGTTGGCAAAATATTTTCTCCTTAGTATAAATATCACATTCCAACATGTGGAAAGAGATCTAATCCACATTTGAGTGCGATCTTGTTAATCTGCCAAAATTTCTACTAAATCTTACTTAGCACTTTTCAATCTCTCTATTTTCCCGGATTCCAGTCACCCCTAGGTCGGAGATTCATCCGTAATTTTTTTCTAAAAATAATTTGAGTGTGCATAGAGATCCGTTTGCTTTGTCGTCAGTCAAACCTCGTAAACCGCAATCAGATCATCAAATTGGGACGGAGGGAGTAGTAAATTTTGATTTCTTTCATTTTTCATAAGTATTTTTTGATTATTTTTTCTTTTCAAAACTTTCTTTGTCCCATAAAGTTAATTAATATTTAAAAATATTTGAAACATACCAAAAATAAAATCCATGTTGTCTAATTTTTAGCCTGATAATTTTCAATCATTCATCTTTATATTGATAACTTTTTATGTTCCAAATATTTTATTGACTGCTTTTAGAATGACTTTATCGGTAGTTATTAGAAAAAGAGAGACAAATATTACCTTCAATTTTGTGAAATTTGACTAACATTTTATTTAAGTAATCTAATTTTTCTAATTTACGTAGTAATGTATATCGAATTAATTGTTGATAACTGTGATGTTATAAATGTATTATTTTTAATATTTAATGATTAAATTATCATTTAATATTGTTAATTGTTTCCTAAAATAGAAATGAGAACCTTTATATGGGACGTCTAGAAAAAGAAAACGAAAACCTTTCTACAGGATATATGGAGTAATTCGAAGGTGTCTTATAAATGTAGACAGGATGTAAACAAAAATTGTACAAAATATGCGTATCCACCCAAAGGTAATAAAATTACAGCTATGCGTGGTGTACACTTAGTTTGTACACATATTGTATACCACATGCCTAATTTAACTAATTGCTTTGGTTTATAGACAACTAGAGAGGAGTACACAATATACGATCTATGTGTACCAACATCAATTTTGATAAAATTAAGAGGCTGTTTGGTGACATTTTTTTCCGGATTATCAGGCTTATCATCCAACTTTTGCATCAAACACATAATTTTTGTTTTCACGCGGTGAATTGTGTAAAAATAAGAAAAAGTAAGGTTGAAGTTATTTTTATGGTTGTATTGGCTGAAGTTCTTGTAGATGACCATTTTAGATATTTTTATATATAATTTTTTCTTTATTTTATTAATAAAATATATATTAATTTCTTAAATCAGCAGAATCAGCATATGCAGCCAATTCAGCCGGAATTTCATAAATTTCAGCAGAATCAGCCGAATAATCGATTTCGGTGTTAACGATTTTTAAGTTTGTTAATTTGAAATTGGGGGAGTACAAAAACACATGAAGGAAGACCCTGAACTCCAAATTAGGAAATAGGACATCAATACACAGCTTCAAGCATTTTGCTTCTTTCCCACCGATCTTTATCCGCCTTAATTAAATCGGAAAAGTTAAGGGAATGGGAAGTTCTGAAAGATCAAAAGGCGTAGCCTTGCTGGGGTTTATACTGCTGATCATACTTCAGTCGGCGTCGGGCCGGTTCGTGGTGGAGAAGAACAGCTTGAGGGTGCTTTCTCCAGAGAGTATCAAAAGCACTTACGATTGCGCCATTGCCAACTTTGGGATTCCTCAATATGGAGGCAGCATGTCAGGGACTGTGATTTACCCGAAGGATAACCGGAAGGCGTGCCGAAAATTTGAGGATGTTGGGATTTCTTTCAAGTCAAAGCCTGGTTCTTTGCCCACATTTCTCCTCGTCGATCGCGGAGGTGTTAACTTTTTCTTTGACACTTATTATTCAATTACGTATTTGAATTCTTCTTTGTGTTTATGTTTCACTTATAGAATGGTCGGAATAATATGATTATTTTACTTGTTTCAGCTTTACTTGCAAATTGCAATGAACCATTTTTATAGCACCTATTTCTACTTACTCTCAGTGTTCTAAAAGAGCTAGTTCGGTGGTGGTCTGCTGCCTCGACCCTAGCCCTCTTAGGTCTTTATCACTCATTATCTTATGTATAATGTATTTTATTTATTAATTTGTTTGTTTGTTATCATGATCAGTTGATCACTAATTCACTGCTTCACTAGTACTTTTAAAACGAGTTTATACATTTTTGGTAATAAAACATCTCTCATATAATTCCTAGAAGTCATGTTTTTATGGCGTAAAATAATAAATAACAAAATGGTTAATAGAATTACAGAAGAGATGAAATAATAGGTCTGTTTTTAGACACTGAGATAGATGTTAAAAGTTTATTTATTTATTTATTGTAAAATGGTAATAAAAGTTTAATAGAAATAGAATACTTAATAATCAAACAATTTCATTTGGGCTGTGGGATGGATGGAATCCAGGCAGTAGGCTCTGATCTTTTGAACAGTGACAAAAAATTTCTCATAGAATATTCCACATAAGTAGGGAAAAAAGAGTCAAGATGGTTATGAAGTTTCATGTCATTATTTCTTCTTAAGAAGATTGAGTCAGGAAGGGCATTCAGTGCAAAACATTGCAAATTTGCAACTATTTAAGTTTTTCTGGAATGAATTAATAATGGATATGGATGGGATTGTATTTGTATATACAATTATGGACGGGATTGTATTTGTATATGCAATTATTTTGAACAAGTCCTGACTTTTAATGCACTACTTTGTTGCAGACTGTTTTTTTGCATTAAAAGTTTGGAATGCACAGAATGCTGGTGCTTCTGCTGTTCTAGTTGCAGATGACATGGAAGAGCCATTGATAACAATGGACACTCCTGAAGAGGACACTGATGCTGCCGACTACATTGCAAATGTAACAATCCCATCTGCACTTATCAATAAGGATTTTGGGGAGAAACTGAAGAAAGCAATTAATGGAGCAGAAATGGTTAATGTAAACCTTGACTGGAGAGAAGCCGTCCCTCACCCTGATGACCGTGTGGAATTTGAACTGTGGACTAGCAGCAATGACGAGTGTGGTTTTAAGTGTGACATGTTGATGAAGTTCTTGAAAGATTTTAAGGGTGCTGCTCAGATTCTTGAAAAAGGTGGTTACACTCAGTTCACACCCCATTATATAACTTGGTATTGCCCCCAGGCATTCACTATTAGCACACAGTGCAAGTCACAGTGCATTAATCATGGTAGATATTGTGCCCCTGATCCTGAATCGGACTTCAGTTCTGGCTATGATGGGAAGGATGTTGTTCTCGAAAATCTCAGACAGCTTTGTGTGTTTAGAGTGGCTAATGAGACCAGAAAGCCATGGATTTGGTGGGATTACGTGACCGATTTTCAAATTCGCTGCCCCATGAAAGAGAAGAAATATAATAAGGAGTGTGCGGTTGAAGTAATCAAATCTTTAGGTGAGTTATTACTACCCCCACCCCCCCCTCCCTAAAAAATTGGTTTCATTAAGGTACAACTTTTATCATTTTGTAAGGTAGACCTCTTGTAATATATAAATCCAACAGGTATATGTATTTTTAAATTATTTGTTTTCAAAACTAAGTTTAATATATTTAATTTGTTTGGAAAGTCTATTTTTGGAAAATTTACATTAGATTCAATGAACATTAGCTTCTTAAGTTGAAAAGGACTCCCTTTTCTCGGAATAAAATTTGTTATGAAACAAGAACCTTTTTTGGTGTGTGTGTGTGGGGGGGGTGGTGGTGGTTATTTCCTCTTACTTATGGGGATATCAGCATGTGAAAAAATCATCGATGATTGGATTGTTTGCATACAGGCCTTGATCATAAAGCTGTTGATAAGTGTATGGGAGATCCTAATGCTGATACCGACAACCCTGTTTTGAAAGAAGAGCAAGATGCGCAAGTAAGTGTTTCTTAAGTTTATTTGTATGTATTGTGTATAAGTAGTATGTATGCATGCATCTCACCAGATGCTCTAAGGAAAAACTATTTTCTGGTGTTGGATTTCCTTTTGAAAAATGCAAAGGGAGTCAGAATATAAATAACATTTATTTGTGTTGTTACATATATTTTTCATTTTATGAAAATGAGTTTGAATAAATATCCAATCTATATTCTTTGATTTTGAAGACATTTTATGTTTTTCTCAAAAAAAAAAAAGTCTTCCAATTATCATTTCTACTCTCCATATATTATTTCCCTAGTCACCAAACGTACACTAAGAGTCCTTTGGCACATGCAAAATGCTAAGGAAATCAAATGAGGAAAGCATATTAGGAAGGAAAAAATGTTGAAGACATAAACATTAGTTTAAATCTAATAAATTTATGGAAAAATTGATAGTAATAATCCCAACTATTGACGGTCCGCTCATAATAATCTCAACTATCGATTATTTCAAAATAATCCCAACTTTAGGTACCTTCCGCCAATAATGGTCCGATGTGATCGGTTATAAATAAATTTTAAAGTGGATGAGAAGAGATATAGCAAGTAATCCCTATAACTTTTAATTTTTACGCTTAATTCTATTTAAAATTCACTTGTTATATGAGGTAATATCTAGACATGGACCATTATTGGCGGACGGTCTATAAAGTTATGATTATACAAAAATAATCAATAGTTGGGATTATTGTTAGCGGACCGACAATAGTTGAGATTATTATTTTCAATTTTTCCTAAATTTATTTTTAATATGTGGATGCATTCTTTTGGTGTTATTTATTTATATCTATTATATGAGTACAATGCAATCTTAACCATCATCATCATCATTAACCCAGTGCCGTAAAGGCTCCCACCTACAGTGGGCTAAGGGGGGTCGGATGAACGCAGTCTTACCCTTGTACTAAAGCACAAAGAGACTGTTTCCGGATGACCCGTAGTGAAAATCGCGTTAAAAATTGCATGAACTGTCTTTTGCTTCATAACAAAGAAGCGCATACAGTTTAGTGAGCCCATTTGCTTTATTCTATCATATTCCCGGGCCAAAAAATAGTGAGTCTTTGGCTCCATTGCAAATGATGGAATGTACAATGCAATCTTAACCAATGTAAAAAAATATTTTTTAAAGTAGTAACTCATTTTACATACTCCCTCCGGTTCTTAAAGAGCTTCACAGTTTGACTTCACACAAATTAAGAAAATAAATTTGACTTTACTGTGGAGTGCACTGTTTGGCACTGTTTGGACACTGTTTGGTACTGTTTGACACTGTTTTGGTGTAGATAATTTGCCAAATAAGGAAATAAGAATTGTGAAGTTAATTTCGGGACTTCCCGAAAAGGAAAGTGGGATGTTGTTTGAGAACCGGAGGGAGTATGTATTTTCTAACATAATAAAGTGACTTCCTTTTGTGATTCATTTCCTTTCCCTAGATTTTCTGGTGTCAAAACATAGCCAAGTGTTTCAATTTTTTTGTTCAAGAGTGTTGACTAGTCAAACATATTACAGGTTGGTAAAGGATCAAGGGGTGATGTCACGATATTGCCCACCCTTGTGGTTAACAATAGACAGTACCGAGGTTAGACCAACAATGGTAATTATACACTCATTACCTTTGTGGCTGTTCATACTTCCCTCTCAAATACAAGTGTGCTTGTAGGGAAGTTGGAGAAAGGTGCTGTCTTGAAGGCCATTTGTGCTGGCTTTGAAGAAACCACGGATCCTGCAGTTTGTCTAAGTGATGGTATGCTTGATCTTCGGTGATGTGTTGTTTTTTTGTTTTAATTGATTGAATTTGAATGTGTATATCTTAGTACAGATTTACAGACAAATGAGTGCTTAGATAATAATGGTGGCTGCTGGCAAGATAAAGCTGCCAACATCACAGCTTGCAAGGTTCTATTTTAAGACTTTGTCACAATTTGTTTTCAGTGTTTGGCCCCTGAAAATCTGATATTATTACATATTGTTCCAGGAAAACATTTTCCACACAACATTTTCTACAAAAAACCATTTCCGATATTATTTTCTTGCATTGAAATAGAATCTTATGGGTCATAGGGTCTTTTTGGACAGCGGGAAATGCTAGGAGAGAGAAACAAATACGAAAGGATGTTATTTTCTTATGATTGGCTGTACTTAATAATTAAGAATGAAGATGAAATATGGTTATGTTTAAGTTTTGTTTCATGTGTATTAAATTTGATAGTCTTCTTAAAATATAAATAAAAAATAAAATCTATTTTGAACAAATTTCTGAAGTAAATCCTTTTATTTTGATTGTCTTTCATTTTCCCTTGGATTTCCTCTCTTTCCAATTATGCTTTCTATTTTATTCCCAGGTATTTTCCGTTTACCACATGGAGCCTTAATTCATTTAAACACCTTAAACTAAACAGCTTATAATGCATATATCCAGGACACATTCCGTGGAAGAGTCTGTGAATGCCCCATGGTTGATGGTGTGCAGTTTAAGGGAGATGGTTACAGTTCTTGCAAACGTGAGTGTGAAGTTCATTCACTGCATATGTATTTAGTTATGTGTGTCTCCTCTGTGTTTGTGGTCATTCAAAAGATTCTGTATTCGCAGCAAGTGGACCAGGCCGCTGCAAAATAAATCATGGAGGCTGTTGGCATGAAACACGAAATGGGCATAGTTATTCTGCTTGTGTGGTCGGTTCATCTTCAGATTTTTTTCCTATCACCTATATCGTTTATTTATAATTTATTTTATTTTTTTATATTTTTCTGTTTTTATCCAATGACCTCGTATGATAGTCTGTTGAGATCTTAATTCATAGTCCGCTTTGAGCAGGATGAGGAGGAGAACAAGTGCACATGTCCTCCCGGATTTAAAGAGGATGGTAAAAAGTGTGAAGGTAACATCGTTAATAGTCAGGCATTTCATGATTATTAGGGGATGTTCCTATAATTTTACAAAAACATAACTCATTGACAAAAATATGAACAATAGCCACTGCAATAACTGTGAAAAACTGCACATGATCATCCCTTAATGAAAGGATACACGACCAAGCTCGCTCAGTCACTGAAAATACCATCATGGTCCTACACAGCTAAAGTCACATCTTTCCATTATTTTATTTTATTTCAATAATATATTTTTACAATTTCTTATTATTTTTATTGTTATTATTTTAATGTATTCACATCTAGAAATGCATGATGTTACACTGGAAGTTTGGAACTCCAAACTAAATCCATTGTTTGATTACAAAAAATAGCTAGGAGCCTTTGCGGCACTGGGGCAATGATGATGATGATGATATATATAATTTATTTTTAAGTTTCTTTTTGAAAAACAGATGTTGATGAATGCAAAGAGAAGAAGGCGTGCCAGTGCGCTGAATGCAGCTGTACAAATACATGGGGTAGCTATGAATGCACTTGTAGTGGTGACCTATTGTACATCACAGACCATGATACCTGCATTAGTGAGTCCCAAAACTATTACTTCATATTCTTTCGTATATGCTGTATGCCTGTATGTATAAGTTGTTATTTAGAACCCAAATTGTAATAATGATGACTCTCAAATGCAGGCAAAAAGGTTACTGGAGTCAAATCTGGGTGGGCTGCTGTTTGGGTTATTATACTAGGACTGGCTATGGCTTCTGGTGGGGCATATCTTGTCTACAAATATAGATTTAGGGTAAGTGTTCAAAATATACCCTACAATAAAATTTGTTCATATTCTGGAAACAGTCTCTCTGTGCTTTAGTACAGGGGTAGGACTGCGTACATCCGATGCCTCCCCCCTAAAAAACAAAATACGTAGCTTTTGAATGAGTTACTACGTACTCCCTCCGTCCCCCTATAATTGTCCCATTTTTTCATTTTTGGATGTCCCCCTTATTTATTGTCCCATACCATATTTGGTAACATTTGTGTGGCTCTAATTCATTCTTACTTTATTTCCACTTTATCAACTCATTACCAACCACATAATTCTACTTTTCTTAAAAACCACACCACTCCCTTCCGTACCAATATTAGGGGGACGGAGGGAGTATTTGTTAGTTGATATGAGTGAGTCTTATTAGGGTCACGTGAAAGGACAAGGAAAACTTATACCATCATTATCATTGTTGTTGTTAGTTTCTTTTATTAGTATTAGTTTCCTATTATTATCAGAAGTAGTTTCCTATTAGTATAGGTACTCTATTTTAGTTAAAATTTTATTGTAATAGGTTTAGAGTATGGTAATAGGACTCCTAGAACTAGTATAAATCGAGGTGCTCTATTGGTTAATAATATGATCAGTACTATTGGAGTTATTCCTTGGAGTCTTGACAAGGTCAGATGCCACATTCTCCTGCATAGGGTGGAGAACTTAATCTTTATTGATATTTAATTCTTCTTCTTTTTGTCTCCCAACCACACCCGTAAAATTAGTTAGCTAGAAATTAGTTTCTGATCACATTAGTACAATAGATCTCTACATTTACACCAACACATCATGAATTACCAAAGAGATTTTTTCCCCACTGCACTGCTTGGCACTTTAGGTTGGCAGTGCTACACTGGTAATAGTAGTACTTAACTGCTTGGCACTTTTTAGCTAGTCTTGAGGGGTAAGTGGTTTGTTGGAATCAATTGTTTTTGTCACTCTTAGTCCTCCTGGTACTTGACTTTGAATTTTTCACATTTAGTCCTTCAAATAGTGTGTGAGGATTGACTTTGAATTTTTCCACTTACTGTGACAAAAGTATAGTAGAAGGACAAGAACTAAAAGTGTCTTTTTTAAAAGTCAAAGGACTAAATGAAAATTTTCAAAGATGGATACCAGAAGTGTCTCCTTCACAATAGTGAATAGTCGAAGGACCAAAACTGGAAAAAACTTTGGCTTCTATTGACAGGGTTTATTCCTCCGAAGTGTCTGAATTTACAATAGGTAATGTGTCTGATGAAGTTAAGTCCAGCTATATAATTAAGTCAAAACTTCGCTTCAGAAAAAAGCGATCGTGGACCAAGTGATCAACTAGATATCTAATGTAGTAAAGGCACATCGATGATAAGAATAATTGCATTAACTGTGTTCTTATGATTTACTCTTTTATGTGTTTTTTTTCATTCAGTCATACATGGATTCTGAGATAAGGGCGATTATGGCACAATACATGCCGCTAGACAGTCAAAATGGAGTTCAAAACCACGTTGATGAGGATAATGCTTGAAATTCCTTTGGCTCATTGTTATGTATCCAAAGAAAACAAAAAAAATCTTCCTCTTATTATTGAAACGCCTATCTGTCCTACCAAAGGGATTGATTTTCAAATGCCTGAGGGATTTTGAAAAGGTGTCCTGTAATGAGGTGAGTAGGAACAAGTTATGGTAGGTACTCCAAGGGACTGTGGGGTTATGTGGATCCCCTCCTTTGGTTATAGGCAACAGTGAATATGATTTGTAGTTTTGTACCATCTCCCCCCCAAACCTGCTGTTTGTATCTTTATTGTAGTATGTTGTTATTTGAAATGAGCTGCCCCCACAAAATGATTATGTGCAGTCTGTGTTCACTCAACAATAATATAAGCTGTTTCAGAATAAAATACTTGCATTTGAAGTACAAGTTTACTTATGCTATGATTAATATATTAATTCGTAGTTAAATAGCTATTGGTAAATGCAAGAGGAAAAGGTTATATACACAACATTACAACAATATATTGGGTTGATTAAAAATGGGGTACATGCTCAGATTGTGGCTGAGGTAAACAGGTAATTGTTGCTGAAACACAACTAAAACGTGAACAGAAATGTTAAAATGTCATTCTTTCATCAACTTCAATAAAATGGCATGGTTTCTGAATGAAATACGTTTAGTGATTATAGTGTTCAAATTTCAGATCATAGTGACTATAAAAGTACATTAACACTAACTTTAGTCATTTTTGCCCATAATTTTTCTATAAATAATATTTTAGAAAAAATCTCTTTTTGGATTTCAGCTATATTCATGTTAAGGTAAACATCAGTCTAATTATTTTTTTTTTCAAAAGGAGTCTAATTAAATTGTTAAATACTCCCTTTGACTCATAAAATGGTGAAGTATTTTTATCCTCTGATATTTTATTTGACTATTTACTAACAATTTAAAGCCGTCGAGTTAATATTTCAATATGGATCTAGTGGACCCTTTTCATGTTTTAAAATATTCTTGAAAGAGTTCTCTTATTTTGGGCAATTTCCCTAAATTTAAGTACTCCGTATAAGAAAGGATAAAGTATAAAAACATGTAAGATTATTTGACATAAGACGAATAATTTGCACAAATTATAAAAGGATCCCCAAATACCAGAAATTATAATATGATATAATTGACTGTTATACTATTCTCAGACATGATATTCTAAAATAGGAATAATATGTTTTCAACCGAACATTTATTCTAAAATCACATTTCCTTGTTTTTTATAATATCAAACATTGATTAATATGATGATATTAATGTCATAATTGACTGTACTTATTTTCCAACCATTATAGCAAGTATTCCTGTTTAAAGAAAAAATAGTAATATGCTTTTGGAATATCAATATTACTTTTTACTTCTATGAACGGATAATCCACTTTTAATATCGATTAAAACAAGTTTTGGATTTTGATGTAAGTTCGAGCGGGGATTCATGTTTGACTTTTTCTTCCATTTTTTGGATGAACAGTAAGTATATATTGAAGTGACCATCCAAAGAGTTTAAACTGTACAAGCAAAAAGGTGGGCAAAATTTTAGGCTATCCAAAGATTGGATAACCCATCACCTCAAAAGAAAACCAGAGAGGCTGGTTAGCACTCTATGCAAAGCCGATCACAAAAAACAAGGTGATGGGCTAATGAACGTCAAAAAACCACCAATTCATGTGGATATATGCTATACAAAATTTTATAGACAATATACATAATTCGAGCAAAAATGTCTTCAACTTTGGGGGAAGTACCATCAAACTTGATAGCGTTCCTAGTTCTCCAAATGTGGTAAACCGAGAAGCAAAATGCAATCCGTGTAGCTTTAGCTTTTATGGTGGCTCCACTTCTCTCTTTCTTAATCCATTTGACCGAGCTTGAAAGTGTGCCCATAAGCCTCGGCATGTCCATCCAGTTCTTCACCAAGCTCCAATTTTTTCCTGAAAAAGGGCATTCAAAGTATAGGTGTGAAGCCGTTTCCGGCCCACCCTTGCACATCACACAAATGTTAACTACATCTAATCTATGAAGATTATCACATGTAGCTAACCTATTCCGGAATGCCAACCAAGTAGTAAAGGAAAATTTGGGGGGAATATAGTCTTTCCAAATAAAGGCCATCCACCTACGAGTAGGGGCTTTAATTCTAAGTAAATCATAGACTTTTGAGGATACAAGTTTACCGTTAGCTTGAAAAGAGTTCAAACAACGAATAGTGTCAGCCACATCCTCAAATTTGGAGACAAAATCCCTATGGTGTGGGACAAAATCCCACACACTTCGGCCATTTAGGTACACACTATGAACCCACTTAACCCATAGAGTATCCTTTTTAAGATGAATGTCCCAAAAACTTTTAGCAAGCAAAGCTGAATTCCAGATTTTGGTATCATGTATTCCAAGGCCACCCTCATGTTTAGGGAGACATACATCAGCCCAAGATACTCTAGAGTATTTACAACCCCAGAGGAAAATACGGCACATAGAGGTTATCCTGTCAAGTATAACCTTCGGGATAGGAAACATTTGTAACCAAAAAGAATGAACACCCTGTATAACAGCTTTAATAAGTTCAACTCTACCAGCATAGGAGAGGGTCTTGAGATTCCATGCGCTAATATAGGTGGAAATGGACTCTAATAGTGGAGCAAAGTGTGTCACCGATATTTTAAGGGGAGCAAGAGGAACCCCAAGATATTTAACAGGAAAAGAGTCTGCTTTAAAATCCACCAAACTCAAGATGTTATCAAGCTCATATATAGCCATTCCCCCTAAGAAGATGTTGGATTTATCATAATTGACCCGAAGGCCAGATATGTTACCAAATTCTTCTAAGGAGTCAATGAGGATTTTAATAGATGCATAGTCACCTCTCGAAAAAAGCATCAAGTCATCAGCATAAGCAATATGTGAGATTTTCAAACTGCCACACTTAGGATGGAATTTGAAAGGAGCTTCACAGGTTTTCACATTCAATAATCTAGACAAATATTCCAAGCAAAGAGCAAACAAAAGGGGGGACATAGGATCACCTTGTCTAAGGCTTCTCTTACCAATGAAATGCCCATGAAGAACCCCATTTATAGAAATAGAATAAGAAAGCGTGGTAACACACTCCATGATCCAATGAATAAACTTGCAAGGAAAGCCCATATGTAAAAGCATATTATACAAGAAGTCCCATGAAATAGTATCATAGGCTTTCCGTAGGTCAACTTTGATCATACAACGTGGTGAAACATGTTTCCTAGCATATCCTCTAACCAGTTCTTGAGCAATAAACACATTATCAATCATGAGCCTACCATCAACAAAGCCCCCTTGGGCAGGGTCAATCAAATTAGGTAGGCAAGGAATCAATCTCTTAGATAGGATCTTGGTAATAACCTTATAGATAACATTGGTGCATGATATAGGTCTAAAATCTGAAGCTGTGGGTGAGTGTGTGGTCTTAGGGATCAATGCAATGAGTGTATGGTTGAGTTGTTTATGCAGCTTACCAGATCCAAAGAAGCCCTTGGCGGCTAGTATAAAATCATGACCAACTAGGTGCCAATTGTGCTTGAAAAAGGCCGAGGTATAACCATCAGGGCCAGGTGCTTTGTTATCACCAATATCAAAGAGGGCCTCTTTAATCTCCAATTCAGTTATTGGAGTAATTAGCCCCTCAACAGAATCAGATGGCAGAATGTTACCCGAAGTAACAATGCTAGGATCTAAACATGTGGTAGGATAGTGTGTGCCAAATAACTTAGTGTAAAAATCAACAAATTCCATAGCAACTTGGTCAATTGAAGTGGTAGAATCACCATTAGGAAGCTTAAGGGCCGTAATGGTGTTTCTAGCCAGATTCTTTTTAACAATTGAATGGAAATACTTAGTACACTTATCACCTTAGATGAGATGGGTAGCTTTGGCTTTTTGTCTATAAAAGTCCTCCTCGGCTGACTTAAGGTTAAGGAGTTTTTTTTTTAATCAATTCAACCTCATTCCTAATGGTCACATCAAGAGGAGCATGCATGGACAACCCAAGGACCCGTTTGTACTCCTTTTTTGTCTCTTTAACCTTCTCCGAGATATGACCAAAATTCAATTTATTTAGTTCTTTAAGAGGTCTTTTGAAGGTTTTCAACTTTTGGGCAAGGATGAATTGAGAGCTTCCATGAACCACTTTACCCCAATGATTGGTAAGGATGATATTGAAAGTCTCATGTCTAAGCCACATATTGTAAAACTTGAAAGGTTTAGTGCCTTTAAAATGGTTTTGACCAATAGTAACAAGAGAAGCAACATGGTCAAAGTCAGCTTCCATATCACAAAAATGAGTTTTGCAAGAGACACCATTCGTACTCCAACTAGGATTCATAAGCACTCTATCGAGCTTAGCCCAAAGGGATCCTCTATTCCAAGTAAGGAACTCACCCGTGGAAGGAGTGTCAACAAGATTAGTTTGAATTTTAAAGTCATTTAGATCTTGGATTAGATAAGCCGAGGGAGGGGTGGGACCCACCCTCTCATTTGGGCTACCAACGCAATTGAAATCCCCCATTACAAGCCAAGGACTAGTAATGTTAGGTTCCAAATTAGCTATATGGTTCCAAAGTAATCTTCTCTCCAAAACCGTGTAAAGGGCATAGACAAATGTAACAAAAAATTGCACTTGAGTAGTTTTGCACTTCATTTCACAATGGACATGTTGTTTTTCAATTTCAAGGATATTAACATGTACAAAATTAGGGTCCCAAAGTATGGCCATGCGCCCACCCTCGATAAGGTCAAAGTTTGTAGAAGATAACCATGAAGGCAGCCTTTTTTTGGAAAATCTATCAAAATTAGTAGAGGTCATTTTTGTTTCAAGCAAACAACATACACGAACACAATTAGAAAGCATAAAGTTAACTACAGAATTTTGTTTAGAGACCTTATTAAGGCCTCGGACATTCCAGGCTGCTAAAAACATAAAAAGGATTAGAAAGAACTCCCCTTTTTGGCCCTTTTGGCCTCATTCTCCACTGTTTTGCCCCTTGGTTTGTACCTAGCAAGAAAAAGGAAATCATAGATATATTGGACAAAGAAGGAAGTGAAATCATACCCCTCCTCGGTAGCAATGACTCCGGGCAGCTCTTTGAGGCAATGAGTAGTGAAGTTCAGCCCCATGGTTTGGCCATCTTGGATTACATTCAAGTAGTTGTCCAATCTTGTCATCCCCTCCTTGACTTCATCAACATGCGAGAGGTGAATGCATGGCCGATTATCTTGGTCCACACCAAGTTTGGTAATAACGTCATCAAGATATGCATCCCTAATATCATAAATCACTCGGCTTTTTGTAAGATCCATCTTCTTTGGGTTCTTCACTTTGCAAGCATTTCCCCTTGGGCATC